CTGGGGAGGCCTCCCCTGGAGTCCTGTGTCCAGTTCTGGGCTCCCCAGGACAAGAGAGACATGGCACTACTGGAGAGAGTCCAGCGGAGGGCTACAAAGAGGATCAGGGGACTGGAGCATGTCTCGTAGGAGGAAAGGCTGCGAGAGCTGGGCCTGTTCAGCCTGGAGAAGAGAAGACTGAGAGGTGATCTGATCAACATGTATAAGTATCTGAAGGGAGGGTGTCAAGAGGATGGGGCCAGACTCTTCTCCATGGTGCCCAGTGACAGGACAAGAGGCAATGGGCAGAAACTGAAACACAGGGAGGTCCATCTGAACATAAGGAAAAACTTCTTGACTGTGGGGGTGACAGAGCATTGGAACAGGTTGCCCAGAGAGGTAGTGGAGTCTTCTTCGCTGGAGATATTCAGAACCCGTCTGGATGTGATCCTGGGCAATATGCTCTAGAGGACCCCGCATGAGCAGGGAGGTTGGACTAGATGATCTCCAGAGGTCCCTTCTAACCTAAACCATTCTGTGATTCTATGATTCTGTGACATTTCCGTTGGGCAATCTTTGATTGCCCATAAATGTAGACAACAGGAACCTGCAAGGCTTCTCTTCTTAGGGGGCCTAGGAAAAATGACCCCAGGTAGTGCAAACAGCGCCATGCTGGCACTGAGCAACGTGCACCAAGCTCAGCATCATGGGGTGGGGTTTGGCTCTGTGGAGAAATTACAGGTCTTGCTGGAGAACAAGCTGATGATAACTGGTAGGATATCGTAATGATTAACGCAGGCCACAGGAAGGAGCACAGGGCCTGAGAGAACAATAGCAGGATTCAGACATTTCTCTGGTCATACAATCACAGCACCCTGAGGGCTGGCAGGGACCTCTGGAGGTCACCCAGTCCAACCCTCTGCTCAAAGCACCCACATAACTATCGTGGTGTGAAGAACAGCCTCTTTCCAAAACCCATTTTGGCTACAGCTGCACCACTAAGGGATCCACTGTGTGTTGTGTGCCAAAGTCTATAGCCAGGAGAGCTGTTTATAGTTGGTCTTCCCGCAACCTTCCAAAGCAGGCATGTATGCCATGCTGTTTTTCCCATTTAATTTTTGAACAGCTTGCCTCTGTCCCTGACACTTACAGGAGAGAAGTGCAGTAGAGAGAGAAGGAACAGCTGCTTTAAATGGTAGACTGGGGGGTTAACGCTGCAGCAACCATAACTAAAGATTGTTGTTCTCCTTTCTGTAGAGGCATTTTGATGATTGCTTTTGTACTGAGGATAATTGCGTCTTCCTCTTAGAAAACACTCCTAAAATGTGAGATGCACTGCAGAGTTCTGAAAAGTTCAAGCCTTCAGATGGCGCATGCTTTTTTTCAGGCTACTGACAAAGGGGATTTTGATGACAAGGAGAAGGGTCTGACATTATTATTGCTATTAGTGTCTTTCCAGTACAGTAAAGAATGTTCCTGATGCTCTTTATGACGCCTATGTGAAAATGTCCTTACTCTAAAGAAGTTACAGGCTAAATATGCCAGGCAGGGTAATTGTTGCTTGGCAATTCATAGATTCATAGACTGTGGCCAGAGTCAACTGACCCAAATGGTCAAGTCACATAAGGTGGCAGACCAGGGCAAAGGAGATCTGGTGAGAGCTTTGAGATACATACAGCTATTTCCTCCTCGCTGACTCTCCGTGTCCTGACCAGTCTAAACTTTCCCTTCATTCCCGCTCTCCGTTTTGCTGTTTTGCTAAGAATAGGTTGAGCATGGCAGCTGCCTGGTGTATGGTTGCCTCCAGGCTACACGCTATAGTGTTCATTGAGAGAGGAGGGAGGTACTGTTAGCTTAATGTCTGTACTAAAACCCCTCTCTCTGTTACCATTTCTTGGTTTGGAGCGTGCCAGAAGCCTTGCATATCACAGTCGGGAATAGGCTATCTGACCATGCTCATCCCCTAGTCAGGCCTATGACCTCCTGCCCACTAGGAAAGGTGCATACAGGCACAGCTGTAGTAGGAAAACCTCTTGAGTACAGCATACCTAGGCAAGATTTCAGCTCCTGAAAGAGCTAAGGGATCGTGTTCATGCTGGCACACAGCTACCTCCAGTAGCACTTTTGAGACTCTTGACGCTGATGCAAAAAATATGACTGAGCGGTTTGTTGTTCTGCAGGCAAAAT